GAGTCGTTCGGGCTCTTCGTGGTGTGAGTCGTTCGGGCTCTTCGTCCTGGTGTGAGTCGTTCGGGCTTCTCGTGGTGTGAGTTGTTCGGGCCCCTCATCCTGGTGTGAGTCGTTCGGGCCCCTCCTCCTGGTGTGACTCGTTCGGGCTCCTCGTGGTGTGAGTCGTTCGGGGCCCGCGTCGTGGTGTGAGTCCTTCGGGCTCCTCGTGGTGTGAGTCGTTCGGGCGCCTCGTCCTGGTGTGAGTCGTTCGGGCCCCTCCTTGTGGTGTGAGTCGTTCGGGCTCTTCGTGGTGTGAGTCGTTCGGGCCCCTCGTCCTGATGTGAGTCGTTCGGGCTCCTCGTGGGGCCTCTTGGGGGCCTCTTGGAGCCTCGTGGGGCCTCTTGGGGGCCTCTTGGGGGCCTCTTGGGGGCCTCTTGGGGGCCTCTTGGGGCGTCGTGGGCCTCTTGGGGGCCTCTTGGGGGCCTCGTGGGGCCTCTTGGGGCCTCGTGGGGCCTCTTGGGGGCCTCTTGGGGGCCTCTTGGGGGCCTCTTCGGGCCGCTTGGGGGCCTCTGGGGGGCCTCTTGGAGGCCTCTTGGGAGCCTCCTGGGGGCCTCTTGGGGCCATCTTGGGGCCTCTTGCGACCTCCGCAGAAGCGCAACGGAGAGCTGCCCCCTGAGAAGGACAACATGAGCCCAAAACCTTAGTAAAATCAATGATTTTGCTATGAGGGAAGAGAAGCGCGGCCCCCTCAGGAGGCCAAAATGGGGCCAAAACCGTAGTAAAATCAATGATTTTGGCTTCAAAGAAGAGCAGAGGGGCCAAACTCGGCCCCCCCGTCGGGGCCAGAATCCTCGTGAGGGTCGTCGTTTTTTGCCCCTCCCAGGAGTCGAAAAAGACCCTTGAGAACACCCGGGACTCCCTGTCCAGGCCCAGGGGGAGGGGGTACGGGGAGGGGTAAACCCTTCCCCGAAGGGGAAGAAGGGGGGTTGAGGACAGAGCGGGCTCTCTAAACCACTCACGCCCAAAGGGCTGGTGGGATTATGGGGGTGGATCTTTTGCTCTCTACAGTGGGGGCGCGCATCAAGAAACCATGTGCTTTTCGTAAGGGTATCCTGGGTTTCGCTGCTCCTCGCGCTGCGCGGCGACCTCCCGCGGCCGTCGAAGGAGCTGCTGCGCTCAGGGTGCCCCGGGCTTCCCCTCCGGTGCACCTCGCGCGCGGGCTCTCAGGGCTGGGTTCCTCGCGAGGGTTTTCTTCGCGGCTGCGCCCGCGCGGTGTTCCGAAGAGCCGTCGAGCGCCGTCTCCCGGCTGCAGCGCGCGCGGGGCGCCTCGCACGTCTGCTCGAGCCGCGGCGCAGCGGCTCTCGGGCCCTGGGCCGCGCGCTGGCCCCCAGGCTGCCCGCCCTGCACGGGCCCCTCCTCGGGTGGGCCCAGCGCGTTCCCCAGGTGGAGCCGCGCTCCCGGGGCCCTGGGGACCCTCGGGAGGCGGCTCGCCCTCGGCCCCGGCGGGGGCCTCAGCAGGTTCCCCCCCCCTCCCAGCACCTGGCGCGCCCTCAGGCGCACGCGTTGCCAGTCTGGAGCATATCCCTACCCCTGGGTTGACCCAAGAGAGGGGTCCAGTGACAGGGGGGTGGTGCACTAGATCTGGCGCAATAGATTTGTGGGACCGCAATGCATCTGGGGCGCGCAAAACATTCCGGGGCGCAGGTGTATTGCTGGATTTTCGCGTGCAGCGCATCATTTGCAGTGCACTGCAGTGCAAGTCCCCGGCGCAGTGCACTTGCAATGCGGTCGCCCCAGATCTACTGCACCGCCCCCCTTTCAGCTGGGCCCCCTTCTGGGCCGCCCAAACTTCCGATCTGGCCCACCAAGTGGAAGACATTCTCGGAGCGAAGTCACCTGCTGCGAGCACGCCGCCGCCCTGGAGATCGGAGCCCACGGCGCCGCCGACGAATGGGGGCCTCGCCGACGTCGGTGCGGACGGCCCGACCGCCGAAGTCAGACGGCTCCGGCGATCCGCGCTTGGCAACCGACGCAGACGAGTGATCGCCAGGCCGACGTCCGCCTGCTGCCGCTGCGGGAGCCAGGCTCGAGGCGCGCCTTTCCCCCGCCCCTGCCCGTGCTCCCGCCCCCTGGCGACGCCTCTCGCTGCGTTCGGGCCCTGCGCCCCCGCCGCGCGGCACCGCGACCTCGCGCCGGTCGCTCGGGGAGGCGCCCAGCCGTTCCCCCGAGGAGCCTCCGGCGACCTCCTCGGTCCTGTTCGGGGCCGCGTCCGCCGCCGCCAGCCTGCCGCGCGCTCTGGGCCCGTCGGGGGCATCGCGCGAGCCCTCCGCCGCCCCGGGCACCGAAGCTGGCGGCGCCGCCGACGGGGAGGGGGCTGCTGGACAGCAGCGCTGGCGGCGCCATCGGAGTCCGCGCGCCGTGGCCCTCTGACAGCTGCCCTTTGGCGCCGTCCTCAGCGGCCGCCCCGTCGTCCACCAGCGGCGCCGCCACGGTCGTCTCGCCCTTCGCCGTGCCGCTCAGGTTGTCCGCTGGTGCAGTGGGGGGCCGCGACGAGAAAGCCCTGCGTTTCGTCAGGGTTGCCCAGGTTTCTTTGGCGGGCGCTCGGTTCCGGGAGGTCGCCGCAATTCATTCGGAAGAAACTGCGCGTGCCAGGGCGCCCTGGGCTTCTTGGGCGTCTTTCGGGGCGCGCGCCCGAACCTCTAAGGGACATTTCTTGATGCCATCGCCGCCGTCTTCGCACCCCGTCGAGCCGCCCACAGCGCAGCCCTTCTTGTCAGCAAGCCGTGAGGCGACCGTGCCCGAGTCTGCGCCCCAAAGGACTAACTCGGGATTTGCGTTCTTGGCAAAACCACTGGCGGCCGAACCCAGGCCAGCGTCCCGAACGGCTGGCTCGGGAATTTGCGATCGAATGCCAATTCGCGAACATGCCGCCGTCTTGCACGCCGAAGCTGACGGCGCCGCCGACGAAGAAGGACACGTCGACATGGAACCTGACGGCGCAGCAGGAGAAGACGGCTTCGACGATCCACCCATGGCAGCCGACGAAGACGAACGACATGTCGCTGCACCCAGAGCCACCCTCCTCGATGCCCAGGCACCTGAAGCCACCGACGATGCGGGCTGAGCGCGGTTTCGAGTGGGGTCTGACCCCCTAAGCACCCAGCCCGACCCAGCCGTCGTGCTCAAGTTCCGATTCAGCAGCAGCCTGGACGCCAGCGTCAGCAGCCACACGAGCACGAATGTCTTGCCTGCCCACCTGGGCTGCGGGCGCTTCACCTGCTGCTGCTTCAGCGGGCTCCCGAGCATGTGGTTCCGTTGCTGCCGAGGCTCCAGGCCCCCCCTCCGCTTCGCCGCCAGCTCCTGCAGCTTCGGCTTCACCTTCCACTCGACGACGCCTCCCTTGGAGCCGCTTGAGGTGCCCCCTTGTGCTGCTCCTGTCACCCGTTGGCCTGTTCCACCGCCTGACAGAAGACAGTGGCGAGCACCTCTTGTATCTGGCGCGCCGTGCTGTTCTTCCGTTCCTCCAGCTCCTTGAGGTCCTCGGCCGGGACACCATGGTCCCCTTTTGACAGCCTCCACGTCAATGACATCGCCAACAGAGATACAGTCGGGGCGCTAAAGAAGGAACCCTTTTCGTTGGGGAGGGGCTCGGTGTTCCTTGATTGTTTCGAGGTTTGCCTCGGGTTTTCCTGAGGTTTTCCATAGGAAATCGAGGTTGAACTTATGGGAAAAAGGGGCCTCGTTCCTTATTTAGGGTTCCTTAGGTCAACGCCTCGACTGTAACCGAAACCAGCTCCATCCGCCCTCGACCAGCTTCCGCAGACTGATGAGTGGCTCTGCTGCCTCCGCCTCGGGCCTGTCTGCACGAGCTCCAATGCTGCCTCTGGAGCTCCGCCAGCGTGGAGGCCACCCCGGCGCCGGCTGCCTCCGGCTCGCCCTGCAGCACCCTGACCGACGCGGCCAGGCATCCCGTTGCTTGCCTCCGTCTCTCGAGCTCCTCGAACTCCGCATCGAGGCCCTTCTCGAGCTTCGCCTGCTTCTGGTCCGCCTCGACGAGGCGTCGACGTCCTGTGGGCTCGAGGGGCCGGGCCGCTCGCCTCGCCCGGGCTCCACGGCGCGCGGCCCCCTCCCGGTCTCCCGCTTCTCGAGCCAGCCGCTGGAGCTCGAGCGCCCCGGCTTGGGGAAGGTCGGGAAGAGGCCCTGGGGGAAGCGCGGCGGCGGCACCTGGCCTGCGGCCAAACCCCAGCGCAGCATCCTCTTTCTCGCCCTTCTTGCCCTTCTTGCCCCACTCGCCTCCTCCTTTGCCCGAGTCCACCTGTGAGAGACGGCAAGTTCAGTCTCGAGCTGGGTGGCTGATGGCAGAGGATGCGACCCGATCCGTTGACCGCAGCGCTTGCAGTACATGGCGCCCTTCGGGTTCTTGCGGCTCCCGCAGTGATGACAGAGAACGTATCCTTTGGCATCATCCACTGTCTTCCAGTTGTCGGCAGCCCGACGGCCCCATCTCTCCCAGTCTTCAGCGGATCCTCCTCCTGCAGGCACTCTGCCTCCCCAGCGATGGCGACGCCCAGCTTCTTGGACCCATGGGCGCCTCTCCCACTCGCCAGTACCAGCGCCACCCATGCTGAGCGGAGACAGGCTGAGAGCGGTATGATCGCGAGATGCATTGCTCACCCGCGGGCATCGTGCGGCAGTCGCAAAGTTGGGGGGGACCAGCTGGCGCATAAGCGGTTATTGGACTGAACAGTCCTTGCACTGCTACGGAATATCAGTTGAGGCGCAGAGCCCCCACGTGCAAGCATCATGAGCCAACATGGCTACGGAGGAGGATGAGGAGGAGGGGGCGGAGGAGGAGGAGGAGGAGGAGGAGGAGGAGGAGGAGGAGGAGGAGGAGGAGGAGGAGGAGGAGGAGGAGGAGGAGGAGGAGGAGGAGGCAGGGGCGAAGAAGAGGAGGATGATGGGGACGGGGGGGGGATGGGGGCACGGCGTTGCGCCCGCTGCCCCCCCCCCCCCTCCTTCAGGAGTCCATCGCGCTCCTGTACTGGCTGCTCGCCCGCGAGGCGGCAGCCCCTCGCCGCTTTTGATGCCTCCTCCGCCGCGGGGGATTGGGGGCCACCTGGCTTCGAGCAGGGAGCTCACAAAGGGGATTCGAGGCTCGAGGTTCTTGGCTCGAGGGGCTTCGAGCAGGGGGCTCGAGGGGGTTCGAGGTTCGAGGTTCTGGGGTGTCTTCGGCGGTTCTTGGCCGTTTCCCGGCCATCAGGGTGCCTTCCAGCATCCGCGCCTCGCCGAGAGCGTTGTGGGGCGACCAGATCGTCCCGAACTGCCGCGGGGGATGACCGAAGACCACGCGGCAACGTTTAGGGTTGCTTCGCCGATTCGCGACGCTCCTCGCCTGAGCCGGTCCCCCCCCCAGGTGGAGGAGGAGGAGGAAGAGCAGGAGGAGGAGGAGGACGACCAGAGTAAACCCAAACGTCATCAACGATGTTGGAATGAACCCTCCCTCCAACCTCCCTCTTCATAGGCCTCTTACATGGTTCATGTACACAGAGTGAATTAATTGCCTTTTTGGAAGACAACCGTTTGAAGACCCTGCCGCATGCCAACGCCACGGATCAACTTGATTGTTGCGTCTTGACGATCCAGATTCGTGCCAGAACGCGATTCCTGGGATTTCAACGCCGCGAATCAACGTTACTGTTGACCCTCGTGATCCTGAGTCCTTGCGAAACACCATTTCTGGTACGTCGATCATGGGAATCCGTGAAACTCTTCCATTCATTTAAACGAATGTGCGCGGCGCTAAGGCGAGCGCCACATTTTGAAAAGGAGCCGCCCTCCATCCGTGAAGCTCTCGCAAATGTTCAAAACGAATATGTGCGGCGCAAAGGCGAGAGCCATATTTTGAAACGGGTCGCCTTCAATCAGTTGAATTCTTGCAGATTTCTCGATAACGTGTGCGCGGTGCTAGGGCGAGAACGACATTTTGAAAACCACCTGCCCTCAATCCGTGAAGCTCTTGCAAATGTTGACGACGACTCTACACGGCGCTGAGGCGAGAGCCACATTTTGAAAATGGGTTGCCCGCAGTCCGTGAAGCTCTTGCAATGTGTTGAAAATGAACGTGCGCGGCGCTAGGGCGAGAGAACCACATTTTGAAAACCACCCGCCCTCCATCTGTGAAATGGTTGCCAATTTTCAATCGCCAGGGTCATACATGGTGAGGAAGTCTCAGGCGAAACGCCCGGCCCGACCTAACAACTGGCCTCAGGGTGCGACAGGGAGAAGTCTTTTCAATGAAAAGGAATGGAGGAGGAGGTGGTGGAGGGTGAGGAGGAGGACCAGTGTAAACCCAAGAGTCACCAACGATGTTGGATGAAACCCTCTCCCCAAGGTCCTTCCTCACAGGTCCCTACACCGGTTCATTTCCACAGGGAGCTGCCTCTTTGGAAGACAACCGTTTGAAGACCCTGAAGCAAGCCAAAGCATTGTTCTCGGGATTCCAACGCCACGGATCACGCGGATTGTTGCGTTTTGACGATGCCGAATCGTGCCAGCACGCCATTCTTGGGACTTCAACACCGCGAACCATCGCAACTGTTGCGCCCTCCAAGTCGTGAGCCCTTCCAAAACACCGTTTCTGTCTGGTGCGTCGACGAGAGCCGCATTTTGAAGAGGAATCGCCCTCAATCCGTGGAACTCTTGCAGTGCGCGGTGCTAGGGCGAGAACGACATTTTGAAAACCACCTGCCCTCAATCCGTGAAGCTCTTGCAAATGTTGACGACGACTCTACACGGCGCTGAGGCGAGAGCCACATTTTGAAAATGGGTTGCCCGCAGTCCGTGAAGCTCTTGCAATTTTGTTGAACGAACGAGCGCGGCGCCAAGGCGAGAGCCACATTTTGAAAACCACCCGCCCTCCAGCCGTGAAGCTGCTGCAGATTGTGACACGGCGAGTGTGCGCGGCGCCCGGGCGAGGGCCGCATTTTCAAAACCACCTGCCCCCAATCCGTGAAGCCCTTGCAAATGTCGACAACGGCTGTGCACGGCGCCAAGGCGAGAGCCACACTTTGAAAGCCACTCGACCTCCATCCGTGAAGCTCTTGCAACGTGTGGAAAAGGAACGTGCGCGGCGCTAGGGCGAGAGCCACATTCTGAAAACCACCCGCCTTCCATCTTTGAAATTGTTGCCAATTTTCAATCGTCGGGGCCATAGTGGTGAGGAAGTCTCAGGCGAAACGCCCGGCCCGCCCTAAAACTGGCCTCGGGGTGCGACAGGGATAAGTTTTTTAAGGAAAAGGAATGGAGGAGGAGGAGGAGGAGGAGGAGGAGGAGGAGGAGGAGGAGGAGGAGGAGGAGGAGGAGGAGGAGGAGGGCCAGTGTAAACTCAAAAGTCACCAACGATGTTGGAAGAAACCCTCCCCCCAAGGTCCTTCCTCACAGGCCCTTACAATTGTTCTATTCCACACAGGGACCTACCTCGTTGGAAGACAACCGTTTGAAGACCCTGAAGCATGCCAAAACATTGTTCTCGGGATCCCAACGCCACGGATCGAGCGGATTGTTGCGGTTTGACGATCCCGAATCGTGTCAGATCGCCATTCCTGGGACTTCAATACCCTCTCTCACTATGGGGTCGGCCTAGAACACAAACTCCATGTGGCGCACATAGAGATTTCAGGGGTGTCGATTGCATTTCTGTCTAATGTGTGGGAGGTTGGTCGCCGTGAAGGCGAGCAAGCTCTTCGAGCTATGCTCTCCGCCACCCTACGGGTCTTCAGAGTGGTCGAAGCTTGTGAACGGCAGGGTGCCAGGATCTGACGCGCGCTGGCGGGACCTGCCCCTCTGGCCTCCTTCCTGTCCTCGTTGTCCCCCTCCATATCTCGTCCTCCCGTGCGTTCCCAGCGGGGGTGAGTTTCCAGTGAGTGGGCACTCTGGCATCACGCCTTCTAAGGTTCTGCCCAGCATTCCATGGGTACTTTTCCTTGACGTGGTTGTTGTTTTGCCAAGCAAGATTTCTAAGACGAATGTTTATCTCCTGCCTGTTTTTAATGTTACATTCCATTCACTGCATTCATGTTGCAGGTTGCTTTCTGTGCATGGTATGGCCAGACACCTGTCTGGTTGCGAAGGTAAGAGATGAGGAGCAGGGGGGGGGGTGAGAGGGGGATGAGGCGGATGCGGATAATTTTGAAGATGAGGAGGACTATGATATTTCTCCGAGTGTTTTCTTCTTTTCTATTTTCCCAATGTCCCAAGACGGCATGGGGCCCTTGTTATTACTTATACGCCGCCGATTCGTTCACACCTCATCTCCCTCCTTTTTCTTTTCCTCATTCAGACTCGCTTCGCTTAGATTCGCTCATACTCAGACTCACTTATCACACTCAGATGCGCTCACACTCAGACCCCCTTGCACTCAGACTCACTCACACTCAGACTCACTCAACTCAGACTCGCTCATACTCAGACTCACTCAAACTCAGACTCACTCATACCCAGGCACTCATATTCAGACTAACGCACACGTAGTCTCATTCACATTCAGACTCCATCGCACTCAGACTCACTCACACTCAGGCTCACTCATGCTCAGACTAACGCACTCTCAGACCCACTCACACTCAGGCTCACGCATATCCAGACTAACGCATACTCAGACTCACTCGCACCTAGACGCACTCACACTCATATTCACTCACACTCAACCTCACTCACGCTCGGTCTTACCCATACTCAGACTCACTTACAATCTGCCTCACTCACACTCAGACCAACTCACACACAGACCAACTCATACTCAAACTCACTCACACTCAGACTCACTTATACAAAGACTCAGTCAGACTTGCGACGCACGCACATTCATACTCGCAGAGTGCGAGGATGTCTCAGGCGAGGCGCTTGTTTCAGCACCCCAAAGGGGAGCCGCAGGGGGGTGTCTGACTCCCCCGTTCGCGCCCAGATTGCGGGGACATCTCAGGCGGTTTGCCTGTTTGGTTGCCCAGACTTTCGCTGCGATCAGATCAGTTTGTGAGGATGTCTCAGGTGATGCGATCGTTGCAGCACTCCTAAAGCCAGTTCGCTCCCAGATTTTGGGAATGTCTCAGGCGGTTTGCTTTTTTGGTGACTTGGACTTGAGTGCTTTCAGAGCGAAATGTGAGGATGTCTCCGGCGAGGCGCTAGTTGCAGCACCCCAGAAGGGAGCCGCCAGGGTGTTTTCACGGGCTCGTTCGCGCCCAGATTGTTGGGATGTCTCAGGTGGTTCGCCTGTTTCGGTGCCCCAGGTTTCGTTGCTCTTGCAGCAGATTGTCAGGACGTCTCAGGCGATGCGCTGGTTTCAGCACCCCCAAGGGAGGGTTGCCTGGATGCTTTCACGGGGCCGTTCGCGCTTAGGTTGTGGGGATGTCTCAGGCGGTTTGCCTGTTTCGGCGCCGCCGACTCCCATGCTTTCAGAGCAAATGGTGAGGATGTCTCAGGCGTGGCGCTGGTTTCAGCACCCCAAAGGGAGAGCCGCCAGGGTTGTTTGCACGGCCCCGTTCGCGCTCATATTGTTGGGGTGTCTCAGGCAGTTTGCGAGTCTTGGCCACCCAGAGTCCTGTGCTTTCAGGGCATATTGTAAGGACGTCTCAGGCGAGGCGCTGGCTTCAGCACCCCAAGGGGGGAGCACCAGCGAGCCCCCGAGAGCTCCAAAGAAGCTCCAGGACGTCCCAGAAAGCTCCAGGGAGCCCCAGTGAGCTCCAGGGAGCACCAGGGAGATCTCAGTGGCTCCCAGGAAGGCCCCCGGGAGGGAGCCCCGGGAAGCCCCAGGGAGCTGCAGGGAGCTTCCGGGCCAGCGAGCTCCCAGGATCTCCAAGGAAGCTCCAGGACGCACCACGAAGCTCCAGGGAGCTTTCGGACACCTTACTACACTCGGGTGAATACTATTGGTAGTGAATCTTGGGACCGCGTGTTCACATACCGGAGGTGCGCACGCACACGCGCGCGCGCGCACGGACTCGGGATGGGGTTCGGGCTCGGGCTCGGCTTTCAGCTCTCGCTCGGGCTCGGGGTCGGGGCCGGG